TTTTTTTTGTAAGTAGTGTTAGTATGAAAAAAAAAAATAGTATAATTAGTTGTTAAATGTTTTGAATTTATATTAGAATAGTTTATTTGATGTAAAAGTACGATCAAAATAATGGTTAATTAAAATTATGAGAGTGGAAAACAATAACTTGTAATTAACCATGAAATAAAAATAATTGATTAATATTATTTAATTATGTTGAATAGAAATAATTGATTGATATTATTTATTTATATTGATAATATTAAACATAATGAAATTTTGTTAAAGTTGAGTATATTTTGAAGTGAATTATATAAAAAAAATTTATATCCCAGTAATTTATTCATTCTCGTGTTCCCAACTTTATTTTTGAAACTATATAATCGGTAAAAGTTTTGACTTATATACTTCCATAACTAAAATTTTATATTTATTTATAATATAAAATATCAGGAATTTATTTATTCAATTAGTATTTAAAGTATTTAATAATTTACTTTCTGTAGAATATGACATTTTAGTTTAAAATTATATACTTGTTACGTAAGAGCGTTTGGATGAGATGAATTGAGTCTCTTCCAGCTTAACCAGTGGTCTCGTGTTCGAGCCCTGAGAATGCAGCAGTGTTAAAACTCTTGAGGGAGAGCTTTATCGTCCTTGTGGTCCTACCCGGCTCGATTCTGGATTAGTCGGTTCCCCTGTGTATCCAGAAACCGGAAGGTCCTGTACAAAAAAAAAAAAAAAAGTTATATACTTGTTAAAAACAGTTTTAATGAATAGTTAGATTTTACTATAAATGAATGGCTTTTATTAATGGCTTTTGTTTGAGTTTTGACTCACATTAGACTTTCACATGGATGTCACTGATAGTGATCATCAAAACAAAAAAAAAAACCAAAAATATAAAAACTTATCCCTTTCTCCTTTAGGAGCCAACTTTGACCACGAAATCTACCAATTGATTAATCTAAATGACATATCACATGAATACGTGCTTTATGGCAGGTTATGCTGCTCGCCGGGACCGACACGTCAGCAGTGACAGTAGAATGGGCCATGTCCGCCCTACTCAACAACCCCGAGAAACTCCACAAGGCCAGAATCGAGATCGACAATGTCGTCGGGAAAGACCGCCTAATCAAAGAGTCCGATTTATCCAACCTCCCTTACCTCCAGCACGTTATATCCGAGACATTCCGATTGTTCCCAGCAGCTCCGTTGCTTGTACCTCACGAGGCATCGAGTGATTGTACCATCGGTGGGTACCATATACCACGTGGCACGATCCTGATTGTCAACGCATGGGCCATTCATAGGGACCCCAAAATTTGGGACGACCCGACCAGCTTCACTCCCGAGCGTTTTGAAGCTGGAGAGGTTGGACCGACAAAGTTGATACCGTTTGGGATGGGAAGGAGGTCGTGCCCGGGTATGGGCCTGGCCCAACGTATGGTGGGCTTGATCTTAGGGTCTCTGATTCAGGGCTTTGAGTGGCGAAGGGTTGATGAGGCCTTGGTCGATTTGGCAGAAGGGCCCGGGACATCGATGCCCAAAGTGATACCGCTGGAGGCCATGTGCAAATCCCGTGATGTGCTGCAGAATGTGTTTGGTGCGGCAGCCTGAAACATTTGATTCCATTCTGCTATGGAGACGTTTGTACCAGTTTGTACCAGTGCCGATATTACTTAGCAGACATTTCTTTGTTTCGCTTGTGCTTTAGACAAATAAATTGCATACCTAATAAGATATCCTATATATATTTACCGTTGGACATATGTAAAACATGAAATTATGCTCGAGTAATGGCAAAATTTCAAAATTAGTCCTATAACTTGGCCACTGTCCAAAAAACCGCCTCTATATTGACCACTTTCAATTTAGGTCCTATAATTTGTCAATTTCATCAATTTTGGTCCTTTTTATCCGGACCCTGGATTAAAAAATGACGTGGCATGACGTGTCATTTTTTATGGTTACATGGCGTGATTATGATCTACGTGGCACGTCAATTTTGGTCCTATAATTTGTCGATTTCATCAATTTTGGTCCTTTTTTCATGCCACGTCACTTTTTAATCCAGGGTACGAATAAAAAAGGACCAAAATTGATGAAATCGACAAATTATAGGATCTAAATTGAAAGTGGTCAATATAGGGGTGGTTTTTTGGACAATGGCCAAATTATAGGACCAATTTTGAATGTTTGCCCTCGAGTAATATACAGGTTCTGGAAACATTTCTTCTTATGTTAATTGTGAGTGTATTTATTGAAAGTTTGGCTTTTGTGTTATAAACATTACTAGTACAACACCCGTGTATTACACGGGTGCTTGCTAATTTTTTTTTTTTTTAAATCTAAAATTAATGAGAAAAAGTAGTTGGAATTTTAAATACCTTTTACAAATATATATATATTTTATTTAGTATGACACTTTTTATTTGTGCGACTTATCTGTGTCATATTATAATAATTTTTTAACTTTCAACATATTACTACATTAAAAATAAATATATCAATTGATAAATAATTTTATTTTTCTATTGAATTTTAATAAATATTATTATTCTTTATTATTATTATAAAATAAATATAATTTATTTATTTCATATATACAATATGGATGTCAAATCGAAGATCATCAAAAGATGATTAATTTGATATATAATATATGTAAAACCGATAAAAAATACAAAAATTATAAACTTTTAAAATACATTTATAATTTAATAGCTAATTGAAGGAAACAAATCGAAGTCAGAGATATATTAGTCACTTAGTGTCTCACTTTATAAAATTACAAATAATTAAAGGGCCATATTAGTACAAGTGATATTAAAATACCTAAGTTAGATAAATAATATTTATGGAATGTCCGAACCTAGATTATTAATTATTAATATATCAATATTATTTGTCCAAACCTAATTACGAAGCATGATTCTGCGCCAAGTAGGATTACGAAGCACCAGAATCAGCCACGTAGGCTCAGCGCATTCGGGAATTATATATAGGGAGGATTTTCGTTTGAATGAGAATATATTTTTTTTTTTCGGTACAAGAATGAGAATATGTTAATTGAGCATTTCTAGTGAACTAGTAGAAAAAACATATTTTATAACAGAGTTTTTATAACGGTTTTGTTAAACCTGTTATAAAATTTAAGACGGTGTAAAATTTAAGACGGTGGCATTTTTGTAATAATTATGTTATTTTATATCGAACATCTGTGAAATAAATTATGCGTGTTATAAATTTTTCAAATTCTCAATTATTTATAACGGATATTTAAGAAACTGTTATACATTATTTAGATTGTCAATTATGTATAGCGGGTATTTACACAACCGTTGTACAATTTATCAGATTTATCAAAACCCTTCTCCACAAACCCGTCTCTCTCTCACCTCTATCTCGCCCAAAATCGCCTTTCTCTCTCTCTCTCTCTCTCTCCATCTCTATCTTGCTCAAAATCACCTCCGTCTCTCTCGACCATCGCAATCGTCCGTCACCGTTCGCACAAAACTCAGTAGCCATCGCCGTTCATACCAGGACCTCGTCGCCGTTCGTACGCTGCTCTATTCGCACGGTGCCCGTTCCCCGCAGCCCTCGTCCGCCGCACTGAGCCCTTGCTGTCCGGTGGTCGCGTTCGTACCAGGCCTTGTTCGCACGCTGCTCGTCCCCCAGCCGTCGACATCAGTTTTCGTGGACCTAAAGTTTTAAGGGTCTCATGTTCTGATAATAGTTCAGGTAAACCCTTGAGTCAGTAGCTCTTTTGGTTATCTTTACTCTGAACCTTTGTATTTTTTTTATTATGTCAACCTTTTGTAATTAGCTTCTTGATAATGTGATGGTGCTTTCAGAAGAAATTAATTTTAGGAATGGTTTTCTGTTTAAGTGTATGCTATATATCATATGTGGGGATGAATTTGATGGTTTTCTTAATGTGATGGTGCTTTCAGAAGAAATTAATCTGAAGTGTACAATTTGATGATTTTACTCTTGCCTCGTCATGGGAAAGGTATGAAATTTCAATGTGGCATTGGCATGACACATGTAATTGCACAGTCGATGAGAACGCTCCTTTGATATTAATATATTAGTTGCATGTGTTTTAGGTTCATATCTGAAATAGAGGCCGTGTGTCGACAATAACTGATGGTCCAAATAATCTAATGGTATGCACTGTAATTGTTACTGTTAGAACTTAGAGCCGTTCTTTTCCTGCTACCTTGTATCCAATGTTAATATATTTGCGATAGGGATTGTTTTCTGTTTAAGTGTATGCTATATATCATATGTGAGGGGAATGAATTTGATGGTTTTCTTAATGTGATGGTGCTTTGAGAAGAAATTAGTTTTATTGCAGTATACCCTGGCATTGTAATACGTTGGAAATTTGATCTGCATCATTAGTTAGGCATATCGGAACAAAGTGAAATGGCAGAGTGAAGAATTCGATTCTTTCTTTTTCTTTATTTTTTTTTCAATCATTTTCCAATCTATCACTGCATAAGAGCCTTTTTGGATTAGTTGTTCACAGGTGCAACGATGTGCAATTGTCGCAGGTGAGATTAATAAAGATGTCGACTTGTTCATTTATATTATTGTTTAGCATGTTCAAACCATTTCTTTAGAACTTATCTACACACGTAGACTTTATAATGAAGACTTTGGTGAATTAATTGTAAAAAAGTAATTCATCAGCTATTGATATCCCTTTCGTTTTTTCTTCTTTCAAGCTTCCTTGTTGGAGGCTGGCAGGTTTCCTGCCATTTTATAGGAATCGAAGGTAATAAAGGTAAGTTCTTATGACATTTTTTCTTCATTTAAGCAATGTCTACAGTGACAAAGTTCAACTTTTCGTAGTGTCCAAAGAGGTGCATTGTCTTTGTATATCTATTAGTTGTCCTAGAAAAATTTGGGCCATCCAAAGTGTAACTGTGAAGTAAGCTTTTGATTGATTCGTCACTCGTACTTGAATGCTGTTGCAGAATAAATCGGAAAAGGTTGAACCATATTTGCAAGGTAGATGCATATATCTTGTTGGTGGGTGCTCACTGAATCAACATATCGGTTAAATATTGGTGTTCTAATTTTTTAACATTTTTTCTTGCTTTTTGTCCTTGTAATTTTGCAGGTATGATGGGATCGGGAATAACAACCATTGGCAAAGTTTTGGTAGGAGTCCCTTGGATATTCATTTTATGACTTGTTAGTCCCAAATATTAAACACCTTTTAGTTGCAAGTGAGGAATGAAGGCTTAAGTTGCAATTTTAGTCTGTTACTATTGGGAATTGCCAGTTTTAGTCCTTCAACTCTTGCAACTTTCACTGTCGTTGGACTTTTGGAATTTAAGGGAATATTGTGATTAAACCGTATGTTAAAAACTAATATTTTTGTCGAAATTGAACCAACTGAAAACATTTAGGATTGGAATGCAAGAAATGAAATTTTATAGGACCGCGAATTTTAGAAACTTAAAACTTAGGTAGATGAAAAGTGTTACCTCACTTACTTACAGGAGCAGAATTGCTAGCCCTTATAGTTTCAGTAATTTGATTGTTTTTATATCATCCAAAAAAATTGAAATTGCAGACTTCACCTGAATTGCTAGTCCTTATACATCATGTTACTTTTGAATATTTCAGTGACAAAATGAATTTTTGGTGGAAGAATAGTGGCTGAAATCTTCAAGTCTTATGGCAATAAATTTTCCAGAGATAACAAGGTTAGTCAATATCTAAGCATTTGTTACCTGTTGAGTGTATAATATCTGGTCTACCAGAAAATTAATATTTCTCTCTCTCTCTCTCTTTCTCTCTCTCTCAACTCTTGAACATTCATATTTTATCCTTTGGAACAATCGATGTTTTGTTCTGCCGATGTTATGAGTAAGATAAAAACCGAAAGATACGTCAATATGATTATATCTTTTAATCCACTTTCCGTAAACACTTGAATCCTTTTAATTTGTCTTGTCCTTTGAATGTTTTGCTGCGCTTTTCAAAGAATGCATGCAAAAAATTTAGTCATCACATTTATCTTATTTTTCGTAAATTAATAATTTTATACGATTATTTTCATATTTTTCAAGTGTTGCCAATCGGGAGGTGTTGAATGCGGTTATGAGATATATGTTGGAAATCATCACAGTCAACGTCACTAACAACTTTGATAAGGTAATTCCTTTTTCTGCATTCTATCGCATTCTTGAGGAGTCCCTTGACTATTCCTCAACTCTTGTGTCTTCTTTGTTGTTTGAGCCAAGTCCCAAAGAAGATTCAACCACTGGCAGATGAATCTCAAGGCGTGGTGATTTAATAGCACTGGGCGGCAAGGTGGCTTTGTTACCTATTCCATTAAGAACCATTTCAATAAAAATAATTTGTGAATATCAAGCACTAGTATATTTTGAAGTAACTAATTTATTCTATCTTTTCGTCTTGATAATATGTTATAATTAGTATTTTTTCAAATTTCAGGTGTTTAATTTGGACGAATCCTTCTCGAGTGATGATATTGATGATGTAAGGAGACGTTGGACTCAATATTTTCTGGATATAACTTCATTAGTGAAGTAGGATAAGATTATACTTTTGTTAGACACGCTTCGTAGTTTGTT